GATTTAGTTCGCAATGCAAAGCATTTTACAACGCTTGAAAATTCTTTGCAATGCAAAGAACGATTCTTCGCAAGGTTTTTACAGTGCACCGCTGCAGGGCTGCACCGCTGCAGGGCTGCACCGCTGCAGGGCTGCACCGCTGCACCGCAGCACGGCTGCACCGCTGCAGGGCCGCACCGCTGCAGGGCTGCGCGGGGCCTGCCCTCGGCTGGCCGGGGGCGTCGCCCTGCTTATGCCACTGCATAATGGACGAGACGGGCTCGACTGCACCTATATGAGCCGGCCGGCCGACTGGCCTTCGCGTGAGTGACACGCAGAGTGACACGGAGTGTGACGATCGGACACTCGGGGGTGACGACGGGAGTGACGACTGTAAGCCAGCAGGGTAGCAAGAGAAGCACAAGCTGGCACATTGAGCAGAGTGACGCATGAGCGCAGCAGCAAGTGATATGGGAATGTGGGCTAGAGTGATGCGCGGGCGCGGGCCGAGTGCACGAAATACAAGAGATTAGTCGTATAAGAACTAGGACATTGGCTAATTTAAAAATTTAAAAAGTCAAATTTTGCCGCTGTAACTAAACATTTTAGACGTCAAAAGTAAGAGTTGGTTGCTGGAACGAAGATGTGGCTGCAGAAACCATCCGTTTGTTATGAAGACAGCACTTGGCACTTTAATAAGTGTCAAAACGAACAGATTGTCTTCTTCAGGGAAGTTTTTGTTCTATTTTAACTCTTGACTCTGAGGTGCACGGGGTCCTTTGTTTTCACGTTTAGACTCGTTTGGTATAAGCACTCGTGAATCACCACTTTGTCACAAAAATTGCGCTCGGCCGATGCAATGCAGTCTCCATTTTGAGTTATTATCACCTCGTAAAACGATGTACTGTACCGTCTGTAGTAGATAAAATAATTGTAGTTGTGCTTTGCTAATGACACTGAGCATGACGCTGCCAAAGGTGTCGGTGAAGGGGTAGACGAGGCGGAAAAACAAAGTTCTCCCCCCCCCCTCCCATCTCTCTCTCTCTCTCTCTCTCGTTCTCCGGAGGGCATCCGCGGTCCAACGTTTATCGTTCACTTTATCGGTCCAGCAGACACCGGCGGCGGCAGCAGCAGCAGCAAGCAGCTTTGAATCGCGCGCCAACAATTAAATCTAGAATGGGGATGGACTGCTTACGTCGAAAGGGAAAGGGGAGATGGGTGGGCGGGCAAGGGGAGGAGGAGTAAAAGAGGCTCAGCAAACTCTACCTCCTTTACTGCTCCTAAAGTGCCCGACAACAACAGCAGCAGCGAGGTCACAGTCCTAGGAAGCCACGGGATTCGCTGGTGGGGGCGCCCGGGAGGTAGGCAGCAGGCCGGCACGGGTGTCAACAGGCGCATGGCGTTGCCTACCTCTCAGGCGACATGGCTCGCCAATAAAATTAGATTAAAACCAACACGAAAGGAAAGGATTTTACTTTGGGAAAAAACTGATCTGCAAAGAAGCCAAGCACTGCCAAGTTAACAGCATTTGATAGTCTGTAAAAAAGCTGCGAATGCTTTTTGAGGGTTTTTACTTCTCTCGTGCCAAGGCCTACTAATCGCTGAAAAAAAAGGTGCTAAGGGCTAATTTTTATAAGGCACTAAACCTGCCAAATGCACTAAAAATGCCTCAGACACTGAACTTTTAGCACCTTTATGGAGCTCTGAAGTCATTGCAAAGGCACTAAACTGAACATTTCTTTGGCATTCCTAGAAAGGCACGACTTAGCACCTTTTGCTTTTTTCCGGTATCCTGGTTATGCGCAGAGCCGCGGACCACGTCGTGCAGGACAGGAAGGGACGGGGATGCGCCCGTCAGGAGGGGGATTATGGATGGCGCCCCGCTCCTCGCCGCGCAACAGGTCCGGCACAACCATGCCCTGAGAAAACCATCAAAACCGGTCCTCTTGATGGTGTTACACAGGGCGGCGGGCGCCTAGCTCCCCCTCCCACCTCTAGGCAGGACACGACCCCGGCCAAGTCCTCACGAGAGTGAAAGCAGAGTGCTGCCCGGCCTGCCCAGCGGGGTTCAAGGAACTCCAGCGCCCCCCCCCCCTCCTTACTCCTGTTCGCCACTTCTATGTTCTATGATTCTTCCCTTATTCTCTTTCCACCTCCTTCCTTCGCTCGTCGTCTTTGCCACCCTGTTACTTCCCTTCTTCCATCTTCTCTTTGCCGACAGCAACACTAGAAAAGGGCACGGGGGAGGGGTGCGGGGGCTGCGCCTCTGCGCGGGCTCTATGCCCCACTGTACAAAATAAATTTTGCAATTTTCTCTTTGCGAAATGTGTTGTACATTTAGCTCGTCGATGAGTTGCGAGTCGATATGCGTAATGCCCGTAAATTTACGATCTACAACTGTAAACTTACCACACGCTCTCCATGGAAAATTTTCGGCCTTAAAACCACGACTATTCTTTCCAGTGGCCACCACGGGCCTCCTGCCCCGGGCGAGGGGGGAGGTGCCACAAAGTGCCCAGCAGGGCTTGCCCAGGGCCAGAACCAATTACTGCTGTTTGAAGCAAATTGCCAATCTCGTTTGCTTAAAACGTTCCAGATTTGTCTGGCAGCGCGCGCCACCGCAGCGGCAGCAGCGCGGGGCACAGCGCATCGTTCGCAAAAAGGCGATACAGTCAGATGGGGCGTTTTCATTTGTTCTCCCCTTTCCAAGTTTAA